TTAACTTTGATTATTTGCCTGAAGAAACTCGGACCAGATTTCCATGCGAAACGTTGGAATTATTTGACTTCAAACCCTCTGTGATTTACACAAATACAATTCTATATCTAATGTCAACCTTTTACTCAGCGCCAAATATTTGCCATACTATACGATAAAATCTTGATCATAGTTTATATAGATGTATTTTATTTGTTGATACTTGTTTTTGAAATACATTTGGACAACGGTAATAATTTTTTTAAAGTGTTATTTTCTACCCCTTCTCCCTCACTCCCAATGTCACTTGTTGTCCAATTAAAATAGACGATGAAATGTCCCATGTTATCGGTTGCACGAATTCCAAAGTTACTATAAAAGGGAGCAAACTGAGGACGGGTTGCTTCGTTTTCATGATGAGCGACAATACAGTCCAAAGTGTTGTAACCGAAAACGAATCGATTTTTATGGAGCGCTTTTGTCTCGTCGCATTTTGGTTACTAAGCTGCTTCAATTATTTGCAATATCATGATGAGTAGCCTTCAATCTTGACGCATATCAGTTGAAAGTACTAATCCCAATATTGAAATATGTAGAGAGATGGTTGTTGAAAAAATATGGCTTTAAATGACCTCAGTGAATTATCTTAAGCCATAAAAAATTTCAAGTAACATTATTTATGCTAGTCATCGGAACTCAACGTATACGTTGAAAGTAAAATGTTACCAAAGGCAGACTATTTCTAACCTCAAGTAAAATCCTTGGTTCTTCAATCCTGAACGAAATATGAAATACTTCATATAGTTTTTATAAGCCAATTTAGTGTAGTTATTCGATAACAACAAGAATTCTGATACAGTACCACTCCTTAGAAACATAGGAAATTAGAGAAATGCTGTCTCTTAATCACAACTGAAATGAAATAGTTTTCCCTCTCTCATACTTCAACTCGAACAGCAAATCGACTCTCAATAACAAGTTTCGTAGTGCAGAGTACATGGTAGCAATTTTGAGGCAAACACGGAGATACTTTGTAAGGTTGGTCTATATGAACGTGATTACTCAGTTAGTACTTGTTTTCGAAGACCACCTTAATTTTGGTCAGAACTACCAAGGCAAAGTAATCAGTTTCTTACAAAGATTATCCTCAAAATTACAGCTAGCAGTGTATTGAAGGTATCCTGACCAACAATGGACTGGATGGTTTGAAAAAAACTTGGACACCGAGTTAGTTTGATTCATTGTATAAGGAAGGTGTATATTGACTTGTGTAATCCCTGTCAATATCAGATTCATACTCTGGAAAAGGATCTTCCTAGCAAGATCGAAACGTTGAGCATTAATACAAAATATTTGCTTATTTTGTTATTTGTACTAATATACTACGCCAGGATTATACACGCAAAAATGCACCTTATGCAATATAGCAGTGTATTCCTACAAGGATTTAAATATATCGATGAAAAGATTGTATATTACCGAATGGAATAATATATTATAAGTACACTTCAAATGAAAAGTTTAAAAACAATGGTAAGCTTTCATTTCAGTGAATTATTAAGAAAATATTCTAACTGTTGGTGTGATCACGGGCAGTAATTCTGTTCCAATTAATACCAAAATAAGAACTTATCACTATGTGCAAACTTTCGATTAATACATTTAAGATGTAGATTTATCTGCAAACCTCATTTACACTATTAAATTACACTCAATATATATTGATCTCGGCGACTACCAGGAGGCGCATTTCATCCTACCCGGGACTCGTCAGCTGGATCTAGCAGGACCTCAGCCAGTGATGTAGTTCCCACAGTGGGTCAAACTCAGTACCCATCGCTTAAACAGGTAGGGCCTTTTTCACTAACGCAAGTAACAAGTAGAACTAAACACTAGTCCTGGAGTCCTCTGTTAATCACCGAGATCAACGTTAGATCATGAATCAGCAGTAGTAACATGGTAGCCGCACAGGAGCCCATAGACCAATAGAGGTCAAGCAATTCAGCCTTGTATAACAACAGGAAATTACAATTATCATAATAACAATTACACTCAATGCATTTTAAACAGGTTCCCTGAAACATTGTCACTACAGAATTAAATTCTCCACAAATTTTAAATTCATATTGGATTTAATCGTAACCTGAAGGCGATTAATCTCTTAAAACAGAATTTATGTGACAAGTAATGGTTTTATAAGCCAATCTAAATACAGATAGCTTATCTAAGATCAACTAATCAGATTCCTACGAGTAAGTGTCCTAGTCCAATAGGAAAGTAATTTGGCCATACAAACATATTGGCTTCTAAACAGAGAAACCAGCCAATCATTTTTCACTTCAAATTTCTTTCTTCCACCTTAAATAAATTAGGAGGGAAAAGTGTACCGTGCAATAAACGTCAACCCTTGTTTTTCGCCTTTGTTATACAGGATCGAATGAATCAATCTCTGTTGGCATATGGACTCTTATCTGGATATTTCAACACTGCCTAAACATTTGTCGTTATGACTGAATCGAGTGTAATATCTAGGGATCCGCATAGGAGAACATATGCCAAGAGAAATCGATCAACTCGATCCAGTATAACAATAGTGAACTACAAGTATATCAACTCAGCCTTTGATAAAAATAGACGTGTCTCCTAATTGACATAGATGATATAAAATGCATAATGCCATACCATCGATCATGAGACAGTTGTAAACTCATAAATAAGTTAAGTAGTCGATGATCTCGGTCACTTCACCTCTAAGCTAAAAACTGAATGCCAAACCAATCACGTCCTGGGTATATCAGCTTTCATTTAATAGATGCGAAACCTATGCTAATCATACTTAAGATTTGTCCAGAATCTTTTCAGTACAGTAATAACCTAACAGTATTAAATCAGCTGAATGACCTACATTATTCAAAGGAGCTTCGAGTAGGACAGCCATCCTCAACAAATCGATTGTGCGGATAGACTTTGGTAACATTCTAAAATTTTCCACATTCTTTTCAGTCAGACTATGTAACAAATCTACTGGAACGATTTATTAAAATTTCACCTTCAGATCAAAAGCAATGAAGTGTTGGATGCAGAATGAAGAAATAAGATCTGACTGTTTTATTATCATTTTGACTATCTGAGAAAGATAGCCGTAGTTTGGCAGACTAGTATTGATACTGGGTGATGACTGAATGTGAAATGAAAATTTGGATCGCCGTCGGATTCAAACCAGCATCACGAATTCACATGGTAGTTGGGCAAACACCTTGGTGATTGAAGTGAAATAAAAATCTGGTTAGCAGTTGAACCTCATCGCAGTTGACAAAGCATCGAACCGGATACCCCGTGGTCGCTGGTTGGAATCCGGCTGCGGTTCGAATTTTTATTTCAAATTCAATTGTCACCCGGTATCAACATTTTATTATCTAGAATTAAAACTCGTGTCTGATTTTTTGTGTTTTCAGTATTCTTATACTCCACTTAGGTATAGAATGAAAATAGACTTATGAGTACTAAAGATTGCTTTACCTAAAACAACACCTTCCAGTTATCATGTGTTGAGCTAGACAACAGTTTATAATCTACCAGAAGACAATTTCAGTGTAGTACACTTTCTGATAAGCACACAACTAATCAAAAGCTTATAACAATTTAAGTGTATAGATTCATGAACTGTTTGATGAAAATAATGTCAGAGGAAATTGAAGCGTCCAGACTCAGAGACAACCGGATAGAAAGAAAAACATAGTTGGCAATAAGACGCAGCTTGATAAGACAGTATATGTTATTTGGTATATTCTCAAGTTATATAAACGGCACTGTTCATTGGAAATTATACTAATCAAATGATAGACAAGCAACTTACAGTTAGCAGAGTAAGAACATAGTTGTTTCAGAATTAGTACACGATTATATGATAATGTAATCAAGAAATACAATACACGAGGTTAATAGTTGCATACTTCACGTTTAATTATTGCTATTCGCCTTACATAAGAGATATGAGAGTAACTATTTTGATGATGTTCCATTCTCAAAGCTGAACGATTTATTCATGAAGCTGTCACTCTACACAAAAGAAGCTGCACAAACTTCAGAAAGAAGTCAATTATGAAAGTTTCTTCATAAGTGGATGTCTTGACAAGGTTGGATTTAATCAGTTATTGAGAAAAAAGACAGACTACTGTTGGAACCTTTAATGAACATTTGCATGAATATAGTTGTTAGGTAGTTAACAACAGTAATTCATTATACACCTTCATAAAATGGTCCTTTGAGGAGATAGAATGGAACACGTAAAAACGGTTATTCTAACTGTGGATGACACTCATTAATCATGTCACTAACTGGCAATATATGTGATGCATAGAGTTGTAGACCGCTGATATAGAACAGTGATCTGTAAACTGCTTAAAAGATCTCTGATAGGCAATATGAGATGATCATTCATACAAACATCCCTTTTACATTTGGTCTCTGCCTTACCATTCAGATAACTTACCTGCCTCATTCTTTCCCTTTCTCTATGGTGTGTAAAAATTTGAAAACATCTTCAGCTTCCATACATTCTAGGGTTTGTCAAATCAGTTAGTGATTCATTCACCAGTCAATTAATCAGCCAGTCGATACCGACATGAAACCTGGTAACTACTGCATAGCAGTTCAAGTTGCCACACTTTACACCATTGAATCAAGATGCAAGGCAGCGGAATGAAATATAGAGTAATAGGGAGGAAATGCAACCGAAAATTGTAAGATGTCATCGAACACAGAGTGAAACAATGCCGAAATGTGACATGACGATTAGGATGCAGATAATGTGTTGGAGCATCTATACTGTTGAGACTAACCCACAATTATATCATCAAAAGTTTCCAACAACCAATTTCCGTTGCACAAAACAAAATATGCTTAGATTAATGACTAAATGGCTGGTATCAGTGAATCGACAATAAGTGATCCATGCATCACAACAGTTCTACCACTAAAACCATCCGTATCTTTCCTATCTTACAATTAGGATAACTTACCACAAAAGAATGCTACACTTTCTGACAGACCACTCAGTAGCATGGACGGTCCAACACTTCCAACAGATTGAGCTATTCTATCTTCAATTAATTCTCTAATAGCTGCATTTAACTGACTCGACTGATTTTCGTGTTGCTGCTGTTGTTGTTGTGGTTGTCCATTTTGCAGCATTGATCCATTTGAACTGTTTAATGATTCGTCATTGTTCATTTGTCTCTGTATACTGTCCTTGTTATTGCATCGATGAAGATAATATTTCAATAGGTTTATATCATCAATAGATAAATCATGACCATGTTCAAATTCATGTACAAGTATAAAAATATTATCAACACCAACAGCTAAAACTAAAAATGGTATCACTTCAACAATGATCAATGTGATTGGAATAGTTAAATAACTCCAAAAACCAACTGATGCCAACACTGAGGCAAGTACAATCAGAACACCAGCAAAACCAAGTGTTACACGCATATCAACCTGAAATTATCAAAAGAATAATACTAAACAAGTAAAATTTAATCCATTTTCAAAAAAAAATTAGATAAATATAAAATGATACAATGAAAGCACTGACATAGCGAACGAAACTATACACTTGGCTACTACTCAATGACTCACTGAAACAGTTCACTCAATTTTAAAGAATATCAGTCACTCGATGAATATCGTAGATACATCTAACACATCTAGTGCTCATTGGTGACTAGCTTCGATAGGTGGTTTCTGAAATTCCAATGAGAAGTTGTGACCAGTGAAGCTAACTAAGTCGAACATGAGAACAGTTACTCAACGATGGTATTAGATGAATGGGGAGTTATATTGTGAAATGACAGAAGTGAGAAATATGCACTACTGGATTCAGACCCAAAGATTCAACGGTAACGTGTTCGGCGCAGTACCTGAAGGTGTTGGGTTCAATCCTTTGTGGGGGGGGGTCATGTGTGCGCACTGCCGAGGAGTCCTATACTACGACAAAACAGCTATTCAGTGCTCCTAGGTGTCCAATGTTCCTCCAACTGATGTCAGTCCATGACGAATATCAACCTAAAATCAATGAATCCTAGTAAACCTAAAAAGTTAAATCGCCAATAACAACTCAATCAAACCTCGCCTGGTTAACTAGTTCACTAGTTACTAGCCGGTCCTAAGCCCGGTATACAGGGAAGGTTGGACATACAGCTAGCAACCCTACCCCGTAAAACAAATCTAACCGCTAAACAAACTTCAAAGCACAAACAAAATATTAAAAATCAAAACAATATTATTCCTCGCTAGAATCGGAGAGGCGAAATGACGCCAGTTGGTGAAAGCCTGCCTCCGGGAAGCCAGTTCGCTGATGTGTCTTCGCCTCTCTCCATCAAAGCAAAAGTAAACGTGGCGACATGGAATGTCCTCACCATCAACCAAGGCAGCTCAGATTGCAAACGAGATCAGAAGGTATCACACTGAAGTGTTAGGAATTTGCGAAAGTAGATGGAATGGGAGTAGACCCTCCAAACTGTCAACTGGAGAATCAATAATCTACTCCGATATTGTCACCCACACGACAACCACGAACACACTGAGTTTTCGAGTGGCTATCTTCATGTCCCCCTCCCAAGAGCATCGAAGGCTCTCTCTCATGCAGTGGGAACCAATCTCCTCATGCAGGATAATAACAGCAAGGGTCAACTCAAAAGGAAGGAAAGTCAAAATCATACAATGCTACACCACGCACCTACAAATAATGCAGTTCAAGAGAAGAAGGAGGATTTCTACAGACAACTGCGGTCAGTACTGGACAAGACACAATGGGCGACATGAATGCCAAACTCGGAGCAGACAACACAGGAAGAGAACTAACCATGATGATGAACGAGGATGGAGAATTGTTTCCAGGATTCTGTGCATTCAACGATTTGGTGATTGCAGTGAGGCACTGTGTTCAAGCACAAGGATATCCACAAAGCCACATGGATTTCATCAGACACCACGAAACACTAAAAATCAGATCGACTTCATCTCAATCTCAAGAAAATGGAGACGCAGTCAGCCTACTTGACACAAGGTCAAGAAGAGGAGCACATGTAGGCTCACACCACTATCTAGTGCAAAACACCTTCAAAATCAAGTTAAAAGCCTTCAACGAAGTTGGTGATGATAGACCACAATTCAAGTTCAACACCCAGAACACAAACTGAAGGACGAAACTACAAAGGAAATCTTCACGTCAGTCAGCCATCAGGACAAAATGGGAGACAGGTATCGAGGAACATCCCTAAAGAAACCTGTGTGGAAGAACACTGGAAGTCTTTGAAAGAGATGTGGAAAACAAGAAAACAATGGGCCGACCACTTCAAGAAGCTCTGAATCGACCACCACCGCACTTCATCCAGAAATACACCTGCAGTCACAGAACTACAAGTGAACATAAATCCTCCAACAAAATGGAAGTCCTGACGCCATAAAGCTACTGAAATGTGGGAAAGCAGCAGGACCAGATGGGATCCCACCAGAAGCACTGAAAACAGACGCAGAGACAACAGCGGACATGCTCACTATTGCAGAAGGTGTGGAAGGAAGAGGAGGTACCTTCCATCGATTGGAAAGGGTTACCTTGTCAACTGCCGAAGAAGGGAGACCTCAGTGTTTGCAAGAACTGGCACCGAATCACGCTCTCCCCACCCCAAACAAAATATAAACCGCATCATCCTGGAGAGACTAAAGGATGCATTGGATTCAAAACTACGACCCAAACAGGCAGGCTTCAGGAAGTACAAATCATGTGCGGATCAAATTGCAACGCAACGCTTCGCATCATCATAGAACAGAGTATAGAATGGCAGTCAACTCTCTACCTCAACTTCATCGACTTTGAAAAGGCCAGCGTTCCACAGCGCCGACCCACAAGTAATTTGGCAGTTGTTTCAACACTATGGAATACTACAAACCTTTATCAATCTCATTCAACAACTATGTGAAGACGCCACATGCCAAGTAATTCACAATGGGAAGCGCAGTGATGCCTTTAAAGTGAAGACAGGAGTGAAACAAGGCTGCCTACTATCACCCATGATATTCCTGATTGTGGTCGACTGTATCATGCAGCAAACAGTGGGGAGCGAGAAGAGGGGATACGCTACACTACGGAAAAGAACCTAGAAGATCTGGATTTCGCCGATGACTTGTGCCTGATGTCACACAAACTTGAAGATCTACAGGTGAAAACTAACAAGTTGGCAGAAGAGGCAGCGAAGACGGGACTTCAAGTGAATATAGAGAAGACAGAGGTGATGAAGATACCCAACCAACAACACCAACAACAACAAACTCCAATCACCATCAAAGGGAGAAACTTGAAGGAAGTAACCTCTTTCACCTATCTGGGAAGCACTGTTTCAACTACAGGCGACACACACGAGGACGTCGAAGTCAGCCATGATAGCAAACACAGCAAGACAGGTCTTCATTAGCCTGAAACCAGTATGAAGATTTTCTGAACTCAGCATACAGCGGAACAAGATCCGGATTTTCAACACCAATTCACTCAAGTCAGTGCTTCTGTATGGTTCAGAGACTTGGCGAGTTACGAAAGGCATTTCCAACAAACTACAGACATTGGTCAACAACTACCCCCTACGCTTGCCCCATACTGAAGATCAGATGGCCAGAATAATAAGAACAAGCAACAAGGAACTCTGGCCAGGCAACGAACCAACCAAGAACCTATCACCCAACAAATATGCAGTGGAAGGAAGTGGAGATGGATTGGACTGGGCATACACTGAGAAGGCCAACTGGGGACATCACGCGCCAGGCCAGGTTGTCGAGTGGAACCCCGATGGGAAACGACGAGTTGGGCGTCTAAGGCGAGGGTGACATGGAGGAGATCGTGCGAGGAGGAAATGAGAGCTTCTGGGCTGTCGTGGAGCCAGGTTCAAAGCCCTATGTCCCATTAGGAACCCAAGGGACTAATGATAATAATCATAACAACTCAATCAAATACATGTTTATTTACTAGACCATAAATAACAGGTATTGTATGAGGGCTTATGATACTACCTGGTTGCCCAGGTTTATATAGGTGTAGCGGGGTTCGAACAGCTGACCCACTGCTTGAAAGGTGAATCCCCAAGTCACTGACTCACTTATGAATGCTAACACTTTTTAACCACCCAGCATCAAGTTACCGATTTGACCGATTCGCGCTGACGAGGTTTCAGCTAACAAGTGTTTCAATAAAAGGTTAGTATCACCGTCGCCAAATGTCGATAGAATGCTAGTGAGTGCCAACAATGCACCGAACTGTCATGTTGCATTGATGATTGGCTATATTGCTAAACTTGATAGCTTGACTTCGACCAGTGCTAAGCACTAAGGACTAAAGAACTAAATAGGTAAATCCAATGGTGATCAACTTTTCTAAATAGATTGTGGATTTGACTTTCATACTGAAACATTTAACGCCATAAAGGTACACTTTGTTAAAATATGCGTAATTGATACGCAAAAATAACGCAATAGGAGGCTTACATAAATACTCATATGTTCCGCTTCTTTCCGAAATCGGATAATATTCTTATATGAAGGCACTTATGAACATCAGTGAAAGTACTCAGCAACATTTTTCTCGCATGTTTCTACTATCTCAGAATTTGAAGCACTTACAATCCGAAAATTCATCCGCTAGAGAGAAAATTATTTCCAAAGTGAGTCTAGTCATCCAAAGCTGACCTATTTTCATCACAGTTTTTCTTAAAAAGCATCTCAAACAATCTAATTTTGATAAGAAACGTATTCACAAGACTCGACGTCTTCGCTGAACAGGAGATTCCTATGACAATGTCAATCATACATCCTATGATTTTGGCTGGTTGGTTTTTTAACGGAAAGTCTGAAGAGTGACACCACAGTTGGGCAATTGAAAAACTACTCAACTGTGAGAAATATCAATGGAGAGCATGCAATTTGTAAATTATTTGCATATTGATCATCATATTGAACGGACAACAGTCCATCTAAGTCAGCTTAGTGAACCGAATTTGTCCGGATACACCGCTGATAAGCTCAGTCCCAAACGAGCGAAACACCCGTTTGATGTCTGCATCACTTATCTGGCTAGGGAAGTCCAAAGATCATAGTGAATAATTGTAACTACTTTTGTTGTTCAGTAGTAAATTTCAGTCTCTGTAAAGTCCAGTGAAAAGAGAAAGACCTCCTCAAACACAACAATGATCGAATTGAGAATGGAATGAGTGGACATCCTTGACAGACAACACTAAACGTAAATAGACTCTAAGATACCCACGTGTTCAAGTTCATCGCCTTCAACAGGGTGGTGTACTCTCTCAACACCCATCAGAGGGACAGACAATGTTATATGACCTCTTGTTCGACAGAGTTTAATACCACCTTCAAGTCAATAAATAAAGCTGTTGCCTGGCATCGGTAAGTGTCCTTGTGTTCCAGAACCTGGTTCAGAATGAATATCTGATCGCTACACCAACGATCAGGTCTAACACCTGTTTAGTTTTCTTGGGTTTTCTGTTTCCTACATCCGCTTAGACGCTTAATAGCTACAGAACCAAAGATTTCATGAGGATTTCTATGTGATGATCCTATCAACCAACAAAAGAAAATTAATCAAAGAGCACTGAAAGGTAAGAGTGAGAGCACTGTACAGATATAACTTTCTATCCGAAACTGTTCATTAATGAGGTGAAAATCATTTACGAGATAGAACTTTAAATCAGTTTCCTTTTTCTTAGTAGGTTTTTGACAACCACAAGATCATTTAGATAATTTCAATAAATAAGTAGCATAGTCCAACAGTTATTCTTCGTTTTTCTCGATCGATAATTGTGTTCGCTTCTCGTAGATTATATATTCTTTCTAAAACTCTTACAAATTCCTACGTCAATACCCTTTTATTATTATTATTATTATTATTATTATTATTATTATTATTATTATTCAAGATGAAATGAAACACTATGAAAGTGAACTTACAAGTATAGTTTTCCAACTCCGATATGTTCCAAGAAACAGGCTGACATACACGAACATGACAATATAACTTATCGCTATAGTACTAATATCAGAATTCGACTGACGTTCAATTTCATCTTCAACTGAACGCTAAAGAGAAGAATGAAAAAAATTTTTCACTTCATGAACTAGAATTTCGTCATTTATGTTTTCTTTAAATGTTCAATCACAATTTTTAAAAAAAGTAATGAAAAATCGCACTAACTGTACAAGTAAATATAGAGTCTGGTGTAATTGTGCGATGAGTTAGTTTATAGAACCTCATGATATCAAAGATAGGATGAATAAAAGACGACAGACAACTTTGAACAAAAATCTGTAACCACTTCATATCTTCTACTTTCAGTGACAATGTCTTCAGTCGTTTAACGGGACACAAGGGACTGCAAAGCAGTTGGCACCACAGATGATGCAAGTTGGCAAATGTCAAACAGATCTACTGTGTCCAACCGGAGATTTCGTCAGCAAACAGCCCGTTCTGGGTGGTGCAACTCCCCAACCAAAGTAAACGAAGTGGTCGATACATTACATCACTTCACTTCTTATCATTAAACTGGGAGTATTTGCAGACCAGTCCTGGAGGATAATCACACATGATGAACATATTCAGAATTCTGCTCAATGCGTTCAAAAGACTCTGCATTTTGTCAGCGTCTTCATCTAGCAGGACAATATTATCTGCACACTCAAAGTCAACGAGATTCCCTCCAGAGAGTAGATTAATTCCAGTGAATAATAGATGAGAAAAAATGACCCTGAAAAGGCAACAATTACCATCGGTAAACTGTCCCAACCATAAACTAGGAATCCCTGACATAGACAAATCAAAATAAAAACCGAAACCAATGTTTTAATGAGCACCTTCGTTTTTAGCAATTAAAATAAAATATATTGACTGTCCTTGGTGAAAAACCAGTTCATTATTGGAAACTTTGTTGGTGTATTAGGTCACTCTCATTCTAAACATAATTTAAGTATCCCCACTGAGTAATAAAAGCAGAAGGACTTCAGAGAACAAATTTGACATTGGCGATATCATTCTCAGTAGCTGTACGAACCCCCTAAAATATAATTAGTGGGATATTTCAAGTTGTTATTCATCGTAGACTGACATCAGTTGGAGTAACAAAGGAGACCTGGGAGCACTGGACAGCTGTTTCGTCTCAGCATGGGACTCCTAAGCAATGCGCACCTACGACACCGCCAGGGACCGAACCCGCGACCTTCAGGTTCTGTGGCCAGCACGTTACCATTGAGCTACTGCGTCACAATCCAATGGTCCAACTTCTGTTAGCTCACGATATAGCGCAACCGGCACTCAATGTCACCGTTGAGTAACTGTCCTCACAACCATCAGGTTTGACTCCGCAGATCAAGACTTCTCACTGGAACTTCGGGAGTACCTCTCGAACTAGTGAACGATGAGCACCAGTTCAATTGAATTTTGAGGGAGTTGTGAGAATTTGGAAATATTTCAAGTTGTTATTCATCGATCTCTGGCCCGGTCGCGGGTGCGCACTGCTGAGGAGTCCCATAATAGGAAGAAACAGCTGTCCAGTGCCCCCAAGTTTCCTTTGTTCCTCCAGCTGACGTCAGTCTACGATGAATAACAAATTGAAATATTTCCAAATCCCCATAACTCCCTCGAAATTCAATATAATTAGTGCGAATATTTATTCGTAAAAATGATCATACTCGTCAGTTTAAACTTCCTAAACTTTATGCTTACGAAAATAATACTAGAATGGAAGTTATCTAATAAGCATGAGAGTATTTCACAACATAAACAGACAGGTGTGAGTTGAAGCAAAGAATAAAAAATAGAAAGTCCAAGTGAGTAAACAGTTGTTAGTCTGGGACCGAATGAGGAAATGAAACTGAGGTAAAAGTCTTTACGTGATAACAATCTCAAAGTCAAGAAACTGTTAAAAAGGCTTAAAAACGGCATCTTTACAAAACTCAAAGTGCATAAGGACAGTAAGTAGCCAAATTCTGTCTTTCATTTATATTAAAACAACTTCAGCGATACAAATGCATGCTACCTGACACTTCAGAGAATTACGTCGCATCACGTTAACAACAGAGAACATATTCCTTCCGAGTTTCCATCGTCAACTAAACGCAAATATACCAATGACTACGTATTCAAAAATTCCAGGTTCCGGCCGATTTATCGACTTTAGGTTGAGAGTCACCATAAACCAACAACAGACGGAGAAACATTCCAAAACCTGAGAGCACTGCAGCCGAGTCTCGTCCTGCGACAGCACCCCTCAGCACTGCGAAAATAGAAAGCCCACACTCACGGAACTAACATAAGACCTTTCCACTCCCTCACAAAGTAGCAGATATCAAGCGTTCCCATACTTTTGATCATAGGTGTCTTCGCAGCATCATTCGCATTTAGTGGAAAGAGGTACCATGTGAGCAACATTGAGGTCACGTGAAGGGTAGTACACAAGACAGGCAGGCGAGTCAATTGATGAAGTTGTGAACCTTACTTGATGGCTTCGATATGTGCCGTGCATACCGAGCCACCACCTATCTCAATGTTCCATGCTGGTGTAAGTTGGATTAGGTTGGAACAAGGTTCAGGGTGGCGAGACAAAGATGGAGAGAGGTGCAGACTACCTTGTTAGGGTATGCGATACGAAAAGAATCAGTGGTTGAGGACTCTTGGTGACATGGTCGTAAATTTGTCACAGTAGTGCAGTTGTGTTCACTCCTTGATATCTTCTACAGCTTGAATATTTGCACTAACCCTTATCTTCAAATTGTCTACATTGACATTACTTTTTCTTTTCACTTCATCTTAATATGCTGCTTTGGAGTGCGGCAACTTGAACCGATGCACTTGTGTGAGTGGTTCTACGTTGATTTTGTCTGTCATGAGTATTTGCTTTGTTTAAGAATACTTACAACACGAATTGAATATTTCTTCCTCCTCTAGGTTCTTTTGAGCAATTTCTCACATCTGATTGACTGCTTATCATCATTCAATTAATCTACATCGTATTATACTCATTCTGATTTTATACGAAATACCAAGTGTATAGGTACATGAATCAATCACTGTATGGTAACTTGTGAGTTATTTTGACTAATCGAAGTTTATTAACCAAGTTTACTATGTGGTTAGTAAGCTGACTGAAGTAATTGTGCAGCGTACTGTATCTTGTGTTATACATTTTTAGTTGAAAGGCATATCTCATGGAATTATTCATCCTCAGGTGAAGTGTTTTTTCTAAGTAAAGTTTCTGACATTTAGCAGATTGAGAGTATATTTCTCACAATGAACTCCAAATTGTTGTCTCAGGATCAGCTTGTATCAATGTGATAGTCAAAGTGATTGAACTCTCTGGTACCCTTCGTTTACCTGTTGAGTCGTCTCAGATGGTATTTGGCAGTGTTAACTATTAAATTCTCGTCTTTCATATTTAAGATGAAAGTTATGAGTGTAAGGAAACGTAAAACTTGATGAATTGATTGAAAATTTGTACATCTAATTGTGCATTTCGTTTTAGATTATGCAATGTAGTGTTAATCACAGTGGATATGAAGCAAAGTCTAGTCGAATGATTAAATTAGTGAACTTTAAGCTAGAGTTGATCAGGTTACTTAAAAAATTAAGCCGAAAAAAATGTTTTGGAAAATAGGTGTGTTTACTGACGAAGGTCATTCTCACTGCATATGAAAAATTGGCTGATAAAAAAACAGCACCAATTATTACTTATTGTATTTATCTTATATGAGGCTTTTGACACTTGTACTTTGTCTACCTGGTTGATTCCAAGAATAAGCAAACGTATAATATGATCAGATTGGCTGAATTTATGTTTCTCTTCAAATTTTACAAGTAATTAACGTCAACTTAATTGTACTTCAGGTTGGTATTCATCATGCACTGACAAACATTTATCAACCTCATTCAACAGCTATATGCTAGCCATTCCCGTATAAGAAGTTCTCTATTATACTTATTTCACCGTTGAAACTGTCAGCTGTAAAAATCTTACTGGCTCGAAATATTACTGCACGGATTAAGTTCATTTTGTACATAAGAAGGATAAATGATCGGAAATATGTATACTGACCGACCTACGACTTTTTTACGATATATACTGCGTCTGATACTGACATCTGTCCGACTTGATAGTAAAACATCCAGAAATGGCAGACATTCGTCTTTCTCTCCTTCACATGTAAACTCAATTTTTGGATGAGCAATGTTCAATGTATCGATAAAATATTAGAATTAGTGTTATTTTTGTACAGAATGAAAGTGTCATCAATGTATCTAAAACAGAAGGACACTTTATCTATACTGCTACGCAGCGGTCCACTTTCCGATTTCCCCATAACATGTCGGCTATAGCAGGACCTAATAGTCATCACACTGCCACATTTATCTAACAGTAAATTTATTTATTATTTGTCCTTTGGGTTCCCAGTTCAACATATGGCTTCTGTAGCACATCGCCATTTCACTCTCTTCTCTGCAGTCTTCTACACCTGGCTCCTCCATTGCTCATAACCTTACAGTTCCTCCTCATACAACCTCCCTCATATCACCATCAGCTCAGACACTCAACTCATCGTTTCCCATCTGGATTCCACTCGACGGCCTGAGCTGAGCTGAGCTGGCCTGGTGCGTGATGTCCCCAAAACGGTCTTCTCAGTCTATCTCCAATCAAATCCATCCCCACTTTCTTCTACTGCATATTTGTTGGACGATGGGTTCTCCGTTGCTTCCTTAACAGCCAGCCAGTCAACCAGTTAACCAGAGTTCCTTCTTGCTTATTCCTATCATTCTCCCCATCTGTTCTCCATCTTCAGGATCGAGTCAGTGTAGGCAACTGTTGATGTGATGTATGTCTCCAGTTTGTTGGAAATGCTTTCCGTGAAGCGCCGAGTCTCTCAACCATCACATTGAAGCACTGACTCACTTGACTGACATTAGTCTTGAAAATCCGTATCTTGTTCACGCTTTATGTTGAGTGCAGTGCAGTGCAGTGCATTGCATTGCAGTAAATCTGCACACTGATTATTTTAGACTCATGCAGTAAGGCCTGTTTGGCTATCTTTCCGATCCTGGTGTTCACATCCTCATCTCTGCCACCACCTGTAGTTGAAACGATGCTGCCATGCCGAGGTAGGTAGGTAGGAAGGTAGGTAGGTGAAAGAGACCACTTCCTTTAGGTTTCTCCCGTTCATCGTGATTGTTGCTTGTTGTTGTTGGTTGGGTATCTTCATCACCTCCGTCTTCTCTACGTTCACCTGAAGTCCCGTCTTGCCTGCTCAGCCTCTTCTGTCAACTCCTTGGTTTTCGCTTGTACATCCTCGAGTTTGTACTACATTAGACATTAGACATACATCATCATCGGTGAAATCCAAATCTTCTAGGGTCTTTTTATCAGTCTAGCGTATTCCCGTCTTCTTGCTCCTCACAGTTTGTTGCATGATCCAGTCCAGTCGACCATAATCAGGAAGATCATAGGTGATATATAGTAGACAGCCTTATCTTACTCCTGTCTTTACTTCACCTCAAAGTAATCACTGAGTTTTCCATTGTGGATCATTTGGCATGTAGTGTTGTCATATAGCATATAGCTGTTGAATGAGGTTGATAAATGTTTGTCAGTGCATGATGAATACCAACCTGAAGTACAATTAAGTTGACGTTAATTACTTGTAAAATTTGAAGAGAAACATAAATTCAGCCAATCTGATCATATTATACGTTTGCTTATTCTTGGAATCAACCAGGTAGACAAAGTACAAGTGTCAAAAGCCTCATATAAGATAAATACAATAAGTAATAATTGGTGCTGTTTTTTTATCAGCCAATTTTTCATATGCAGTGAGAATGACCTTCGTCAGTAAACACACCTATTTTCCAAAACATTTTTTTCGGCTTAATTTTTTAAGTAACCTGATCAACTCTAGCTTAAAGTTCACTAATTTAATCATTCGACTAGACTTTGCTTCATATCCACTGTGATTAACACTACATTGCATAATCTAAAACGAAATGCACAATTAGATGTACAAATTTTCAATCAATTCATCAAGTTTTACGTTTCCTTACACTCATAACTTTCATCTTAAATATGAAAGACGAGAATTTAATAGTTAACACTGCCAAATACCATCTGAGACGACTCAACAGGTAAACGAAGGGTACCAGAGAGTTCAATCACTTTGACTATCACATTGATACAAGCTGATCCTGAGACAACAATTTGGAGTTCATTGTGAGAAATATACTCTCAATCTGCTAAATGTCAGAAACTTTACTTAGAAAAAACACTTCACCTGAGGATGAATAATTCCATGAGATATGCCTTTCAACTAAAAATGTATAACACAAGATACAGTACGCTGCACAATTACTTCAGTCAGCTTACTAACCACATAGTAAACTTGGTTAATAAACTTCGATTAGTCAAAATAACTCCACAAGTTACCATACAGTGATTGATTCATGTACCTATACACTTGGTATTTCGTATAAAATCAGAATGAGTATAATACGATGTAGATTAATTGAATGATGATAAGCAGTCAATCAGATGTGAGAAATTGCTCAAAAGAACCTAGAGGAGGAAGAAATATTCAATTCGTGTTGTAAGTATTCTTAAACAAAGCAAATACTCATGACAGACAAAATCAACGTAGAACCACTCACACAAGTGCATCGGTTCAAGTTGCCGCACTCCAAAGCAGCATATTAAGATGAAGTGAAAAGAAAAAGTAATGTCAATGTAGACAATTTGAAGATAAGGGTTAGTGCAAATATTCAAGCTGTAGAAGATATCAAGGAGTGAACACAACTGCACTACTGTGACAAATTTACGACCATGTCACCAAGAGTCCTCAACCACTGATTCTTTTCGTATCGCATACCCTAACAAGGTAGTCTGCACCTCTCTCCATCTTTGTCTCGCCACCCTGAACCTTGTTCCAACCTAATCCAACTTACACCAGCATGGAACATTGAGATAGGTGGTGGCTCGGTATGCACGGCACATATCGAAGCCATCAAGTAAGGTTCACAACTTCATCAATTGACTCGCCTGCCTGTCTTGTGTACTACCCTTCACGTGACCTCAATGTTGCTCACATGGTACCTCTTTCCACTAAATGCGAATGATGCTGCGAAGACACCTATGATCAAAAGTATGGAAACGCTTCATATCTTCTTGTTTGAGACCTTCAACAATATGGGATGGACTACAGCAGGGTATAGTCGTCCTTTAATAGATACTCGGATATCTCATCAATCAACCCCATACATGCTGCAGTTCAACAAATTGCAAAGAAGTCTTCGACATTTGAGCTGAGATTTCGTCAGCAACCACACATTTAGGCTTGATTCAACTCCCTAAGTAAGTGAGTTGGCTGAAATTACTCATCCTTCTCTTTGATTAGATAGCATGTTTGAGTGAAGTATCTTCGTATTCACTTAGGGATATCCAGACAACAGTTTCACATGATCTTCACACTGACTATTTTTTACAGCATCCCTATTAAACTTTTGTTGAAGTGAATATAACAACAAGAAATCGTTCTGATTCTTTTACTGTGTTTCACTCAGTCAGTCAAATCATCAAGCGGTTATATGAAATATTGTATTTTTCAAACAAAGATTATTACAGTGAATAAACCTGTAAAAATTGGCACCGATTCATTAGAAATATGCTATCTTACTACTTACCTCAGCTTGATAGCTAACGATGATTTCTGAATTATTACGCTTCCACTGATTCACAACCTTGATATATTCTGTTTCCCATAGTTTAGCCTTAAGAACTTGAACTGATTTTGGATCAGGATGATTGTTTACAAGAAATGTTAGAACTACAGCAGCTGATCCATTGAAAAATGACGCTTTTTTGATAGAAGAAAGAATGACAGACGATTAACTACGTCATGATACAATATTATAATATCATCTACCGCGCCTTTTTTTGATTAGACTCTTTTTTAGGAAGAAAAAGATTTCCTCCTGGACTAAAATCACCTGGAAAACTGTTGAGAGAAAAGCAAACCACTTTAGTTGAGATCTCAATTCACGATATATGATGAGACTGTGGCTCGTTGGCTTAGGCAGTTGATTTTCGACTAGTGGGTTATTGGTTCGAACCCCACGTATTGAGATCCGAGCAGATAGGTAGCATCATCAGCTGTAACACAATATATGTGTCTCATTGCCTACAGCAAAAACGTGTAAATGATTCCGGAATACTTTTTCTTTTCAAAACAGACGAGTCAGACCGAACACAAGTATGTTTTCGGTTGTATTGTGTTCTCTGAGCTGGGTTGTTTAATCGTAAAGCTTTCATCTTACTAGACGACATCATCAGCACTAACTTCAGTGTGAAGTGAACTGTCAGTATCTCTCCATGAGTGATTTAGTAGCTTGCCCTGACGAAATGGTTTGTGATTGGTTGTTGTGTCACTGACTGCATAGATTTTTCCTGCTGGCTGTTCCACCGCTTGATCTCTGACATTTCTGTCGTTTATCATTTTCCTTATTGATTATACGTTGGAATTCATCAAGAACTGATATCAGATGGAGGAACAAGGAAACCTGGGGCACTAAAAAGGTTCCGTCCCAGGATGGGACTCCTCAGTAGTGTGCACCCATGACCCCACCCCAACAGGAATCGAACACAAGACCTTCAGGTTACGTGGCCAGCACGTTACCACTGAACCATTAGGTCGAAATCCATTGGTCCAAAGTTTCTACTTCTGTCAGTTCACGATATACCACGACCCATATACAATGTCGTCGTTGAGCAACCGTCCTCATTTCCAACTTGGTCACGACTTCTCATTGGAATTTCGGGAATCACCTCTCGAAGCGCTAGATTAATTCTATCTGGAGGTTTCTGAAAATTTACAAGTTGATTTTGGGTTGGAGGAGTCCCATACTAGGATGAAACAGCTCCCCAGTGCTCCCAGGTTTCCAATGTTCTTCCAACTGACGCCAGTCCATGAGGAATTCCAACCTAAAATCAATTAATAAACCTCCACAAACCTCCAGATAGGATTTTTCTTATTGGTTGATAGATTTGGTCTATGTCTACAAATCTGTTGGTTGCTGACTGACCTGAATGTCAAGCTTCTAAGAATCCTCTGATATTCTTTATATTTCCTCTGTCCAAGGATTTATACACGTATGTTTCCCTGAAGACAAACTTTCATGCACTGTGATCAGCACGTAAGCTTTAATAGATATATCGGCCAACGTGCGGTGATCAATTTGTGGGCACAAGTCAGTCTTACAGTGAATCAGTTGAAAAATGGAAATATTGGCATTTAAGTCTCTGACTACAGAATTCAATGGTATAAAGTCTCCTCAAGGTAAAACTATAACTGAAAACCAAAATGTGTCTACAACAATGAGAAAAGAGAGTGACTTTAATGGTTACCCTTGCAACTGCTGAAATAACCAATCAGGTCTCAGTAGGTTGACCAGATGGGTGGTTTTTTTTATAAAATGGAGGAACGCACTTGGTTGTCACAGCAATCGCTAGGGCGCCTTTGAAGTCACTCAGATAAGGCCTTCACTACAGTAACTAGGCCTTAAATATCTCCAATATATAATTCATATAGGCTTTGGTAACTTACTTCATAAACCTAAATTTGTCGCTAACTTCAAAGTTTTCTGATCACATGACTTGTTTAGCTATTGTGGAAATATAGTACACATACACAGACGAACACGATTCAAAATATACAACTATTCAGCCACTTTTTAATCACATCACAGATTTGCAATATTGATAAATTGCAATGAACATTGGTGACAACATTCATTGCTTACGATACTTTCCACCAGTAAACTGGCATTCTATATCTAATAGTTGTGTTTACAAATGCTGAGGAGTCCTCTGAGAAAAGAAAAAGATGAGAATAGCTAGTCAATGCTGGTTACTTTTCAATGACTCAATGATGAATTGATATCCCTTTGTAAGTAAAATATTGTTTTAAATTAATGGATAGACTACATCTCTAAGTCATTCAGTTGAAAAACAACTAACCATTAAAACCTCCGAAAACAACTTGCGGTGGTAACGGCATTCCAGAGGATGAAAGACAACCAGCAGTACTATCCAATGGTGAACCACTTGTAGACAGTGGAGCATCAGCACAATATAATAAGTGATCAAGATAGTCATTAATCGGCAGCTCAAAATCATTTTTATTCTGAAAAGAAATAAACACATAGAGATCAAAAAATAGGGAATGTAGAATGAATTATGATTTGTTAGATCAAATATATCCAATAAACTTTAATTGGTATTGTATAAATGTCAATTGAAAAAGGTGAACCGCGTGTATAATATCAAGCAACATCTGAAATCTACATGAGCTTTGATCAGTATTCAACCGAACAGTCTAAAAAATATTAGGCACCAAGTGAAATGTTAGCAAAAGATATGCACGTTATTAATTGATTGATCACCGGAGAGTTAGCCATTTTATATCCGACATGTTGACTAGATTCTATAAATCATGTTTCAATCTGTTCACTAAGATAGGAGACCCAGAATCAAGGTACACTTGCATTGAAGTTACGTGGTAGTAGGCAACCGTCAAGAAACCAAGAACCTAGGCTTCGCACTTATTGACACTCGTCAATGGTCGGTGGGATTCGGTCGACACTCAGGACTAGATAAAATCATATTCGTCACTGTTCAGTCAGTTTGTCTTTCAATGACACACTGGAATGAATCGTGGCCTGAATAGTTTGGTAGTAACATCCCTGACTACAGTACTGGGTGATATAAGTTCGAATCTCTCAGAGGATATCCACTGCCTCAAAGCTGCAAGTAAGTCTGGCTGACGAGTCTCAATAAGCACGAAACCTAGGTCCAAGACTTCCTGTCGATTGCCTCCAGTCACCTAACATACATACATACATCATATTTGTATGAATATATGTTCTGTCAGGTAAGTGTAAATTTCCAATGGCAGGCAAATAATATAAAATTCTGTAGTTAATCTCCTGGTTCGATCCTGTTCGGATTCTTATCACTTTCAGCCTGAAAGATAGTCATTCTAGGTGAGATTGCATGTAAATTGTAACGTAATGTTTGTGGTGATGTGGCTTTTTCATATTACCGTTCAATAAATATGTAATAATAAAAGGTCACAGATGATACGATAACCAGTGAATGTATGGGTATGTGAATAACCATAGTTAAATATATGAAAAAGTCAAATCAAATTATGTGCTATTGCTGATGACAAATATAACGAAAATAAGAGTAGAAATGAAATCATCTTCTAATATAATCCTTTATATTTCTTAATTGTCATAACTAATCAAGAACTACAATTTGGAGGTTTGTGGGGATTTATTTATTGACTTCAGATTGGTATTCATCAAGGACTGACATCAGTTGGAGAAACATTAGAAACCTGAGAGCACTAGATAGCTATTTTCTACTAGAATAGGACTCCTCAGTAGTGCGCATCCATGATCCCCCCAGGGGTCAAGTCTAGAACCTTCAGGTATCGCTCCCAACACGTTACCACTGAGTCATTGGGTCGGAATCCAATGGTTTGGGGCTCGATCCCTGGAGGGGTGATGGGTGAGCACTACTGACGAGTCCTGTATTAGGATGGAACAGGCGTTCAGTGGTCCCAGATTTTCAATAATCCTTCAAATGATATCAGTCCATGCAGAATACCAACCTGTAATCAAGAAGTAGTTGACTGTACCCCAAAGCATTTACATTCAACTTGTTGGGAGTTGTCTTGGCGGTCAGTCTCTTTCTGTAATATGAAACTTTAGTTCCAATACAATCAGTGCATTAGTATAATTTATTGGTACCCGACTTCCAACCATTGGGTTAGGGATTCAAACTCTGCTTCACTTAAAGAGGTCTGCATAGCCAAGTAGTATAACTCGCTCGAACATAACGTAGCTCTACCATTTAATGCAAGAACATGCACGTGGTTGTTGAACTGGATTTCGACCTCAGTTCATTAAAATCAGCAAGTCAGATAGACAACATCAAAACAGGACCTGGCATCACTTCTTAATGACCCATAGTTACTACACCTCATAACACCACAACCAAGCGACAATATCTTAAGATGGAAGACTAAGAAATAAAGCAGTCAAAATGGTAAAGAGCATGGAAGAATGAGGAAATAGTGATATTCATCTTGACAATTAAGATGAAGTTAGTGTGTGGATACATCTGCACTATCAACGTCGATTCTCAGCCATATCACCCAGAGTCCCCAACCACCGGTTTCTATTGTCAGACGAACAACCAATGAGAAGTCTACGTTTCCCTACACAACTCACATCAGTGATCAAAGACTTCGTAAATGTTACCATGTTTTAGTTTTAAAACTAGTTCAGATAACATTCTGCGGCGAGGAATACGGTGACTAGGTATGTGTAACATATGTCAAAGCCACCTCAGTCGATAAAGGTTCACAACTTCATTAACTCATCTTCCTCTTCCGATAAAAAACCATACACCCCACGAAACCACGACACATCGGCCTATGCTAGAAGCCAATTATCGTCAAACACTAAAAGCCTTTTCATGTCCTCTACCTTTGATGGCCATGTTTCACAGTCATGAAGTTGAACCGAACGAACTGCAACGTAGTATACTTAACCCTTAATAGAGAATCAAATATCTCTGCAGCGCCATAAATGATGTAATTCGATGAAAACCCATCGCATTTCTTCTATCCATGCAGAGATTTCGTCAACCACTGACTCACTAGGGCTGATTCGACTTCTCCGTTAACCAAAGTTGTTAACGTGCTCAACTATTTCACTCCGTATTGTTAGACAGGGTTCAAAGTTGGACTTAATAACAAATAAATATTTTATTCTCACATTAGTAATTTAACATGACAAAAGCCAGTTTAAAGGCATCATCATATCTACAAGGTTTTATGGGTCCTGAATGGTATAGAAGGGAGGTCATTAAATTCTATTAAAAAGACCAGAAGATTCCACTAGTTATGAAATGAACAACAAAATGCCTATTTTCAGCATATACAGAGTGTTAAAGTTTAGATCATCTTCAGTTATACATTTTTTTTCACCATTGATGGCACCAAGGTTGCGGAAATTCTAAATTTTCATTAAAACCAGTCCATATGTTTGACTCATCTTTGTAATGCCAAGTTACGCTAGATAAACATCAATTTTACCATAAATTAATTCTTATGCTTTTAGCTTTGGAGACCAAAAGAACCCACATTGACGATTTTGGGAATCTGTAAGTCTCCACATAATCATGTTCTCCAAGAAATATCTATATCCAAGCATTTCCTTCTATTCAAGTGTTACCATTCACAGCAATATAGATTTACGCCATCGGAATTCGATATTTTGGTGCAAAGGAATAAACAATTGAAGAACTGTAGACCAATGGCAATAGGTTTTTCATACTGTTCACGATAAGGTGTGCAGCATTATCAAGGAGGTATATTCACTTGAATTGTTGAACATCGCACTTATCTCTTAACAAAAGTTCGAACCTCACGGATACTGCAAGTGCATAAGTTAAAGACGGTTAACTGAAATTTTCCTATTTTTCAAGTTGGTATTCTTCGTGGGCTAATATCAGCTGGGAGAATATTGGAAACCTGAGAGCACTGAACAGATGTTTCGTCCCAGCATGGGACTTCCTCAGCAGTGCGTACCCATGACCCCAACCCATCAAGGATCAAACCCAGAACCGTCAGGTTCTGTGGTCAGCACGTTACCATGGAGTCACTGGGTCAGAATCCAATGGTCCATATTTCTAACTCCTGTCAGTTCACGACATAGCGCAACCACCATCCAATGTCATCATTAATGACACATCGTCAAACGCTAATGCAACTTGTCAGCTGAATCCACTGATCAACACAATGAAGTAGGTCAAACCACACTTAGAAAACAGTCTTGAATTAACATTGTTTTAAACATATGAGACACGTAACTAAACATTTTCACATTTTCTTTCAATGTCAAGTCAGTGCTTCCATATGGTTCAGAAACTTCGGCGCGTCACGAAAAGCACTTCCAACAAACTATAGACATTCATCAACAGCTCCCGCCTACGCTCGCTCAATACTGAAGGTCAGATCAGATGGCCAGAAACAACAAGCAACTCTGGAAACGAACCAACCAAGAACCTATCACCCAACAAATATGCAGTGGAAGAAAGTGGAGATGTATTGGGCATATACTGAGAAGGTCGACTGGAGACATCACGCGCCAGGCCAGGTTGTCAAGTGGAACCCAAAGGGGAAACGATGAGTTGGGCGTCCCAGCTGAGTGACATAGAGGAGATCATGTGAGGAAGAAATGAAAGCTTGTGGGCAGTCGTAGTGCCAGGTTCAAAAGACTGCAGAGAACAGAGTGCAATGGAGGCGTGCTACTGAAGCCCTATGTTCCGCTAGGAACCCAAGGGGGGGGAATAATAATAACACTCATTTTCTCAGCATCTTCACCTTACAGGACTGTTTGATTGGTATAAGTTAGCTATGCTATACGCATAAAAGACAACAATCTATGTGAAAAGGTAGAGCCTGTTAACAAGAGAAACACATGTGTGATAAAATTTAAGAAGTGGAGAAAATAGACACCTTTGGCAAACACCAATAGGCAGTTATCACAGGTGAAAACCAAAAATACATTTTGAGCGAAGATAAAGTTTCTAGGCTCGAAACCTAGTGGAGACATTACTATACGACCTTTCGACAGACATAATGGAATGCACATTTTGGGTCAGTGTACGCCTGAAACGAAGAAACGTTACGATCTATATATCTATAGTCAGGCTTGCGATCCTCTGGTTTTCTTTCACCTGCTGTCTCCGACCTTCATTTCGACAAGAAATGCTTATAATGATACTTTGGAAATTACATACGTTATATTAGTTCCTCTTTGGTTATCGTTAAAGATTTCTGCTCCCTTTTATTCACCAAAAAGTATTTGAGAAAAATGATATTGTAGCACGTGATTCAGTCAATTTAATCAATAATCCCAAACTCTCAAGTTTACAGGCTTATAGAGGCAGGTGGTTATTAACAGCCTGATGTCTCTCGCAGTTGCACATTGAATACAGCCCTCTAAACTCCAGAACGAGTTGGAGGTTTGACATTCACATACTGTTTCGGCAGGTGAAATATAAATGAATACTAACAGAACTGTTCCTCATGGTGTTCTACACATT